GAGGAGAGGGGAGGGGAGAGGAGGGAAGGGGAAGGGAGAGGAGGGGAGGGGAGGGGAGGGAAGGGGAAGGGAGAGGAGGGGAGGGGAGGGGAGGGAAGGGGAAGGGAGAGGAGGGGAGGGGAGGGGAGGGAAGGGGAAGGGAGAGGAGGGGAGGGGAGGGGAGGGGAGGGGGGAGTGAGAAATGAGGAGGGAGGAGAGAGAATGCTTCCATTGGTGATTCATCCCCCTAATGCTCACAACAGCCAGGGCTGGACCAAACTGAAGCCCAGGAGACCATGAACTCTATTTAGCTCTCCCAAATAGGGGACAGGGACAAGCACTTGAACCCTCATGTGCTACCTCCCAGAATGCACCAGCAGGAATGCTGGATCAGAAGCAGTGCAGAAAGGACTGGAACTGGCATTCCAATGTGGGATGCAAGAGGTCGCTTAACCCACTGTGCTACAATACCAGCCCCTTGCTGGTTTATTTTTAAGATGGTAATGATTGAATAGAAGTAACAGATGGTATTGCAAGCATGACTCCTTGAGAAGGCTTGAGGGGATGGGATCCACAGCACAAAGGAGTGTTTGCCATTTGCTGGGGACAAAGACACATCTTCTGAGACTTCAGGAAGGACGATAGAGAATTTGGGGCAATGCAAGAAGGCTTGTGTCTTTCCTTTGGGTGAGAATGTCCCTCCTTGATGGCTTTTATTTTCTTAGAGAAACGAAAAGACAGGTCATAAGTTATGGGCATAAGAAAAAAAAAAAAGCGTAGGGGTCTAAGGAGACAAAGCATGCAATAAACTAGCTCTGGAAGTGGGAAGGTGACCTTACCGGGAAATTCGGTAAGATACTATGCAAAGTCTGATGTCCCTTTCAGGTTTGTGGTCAAGAAATATAAGTGAAAGCTCCAACCCCTATTAAAGTGAGTACATTGTTGACTTCAACTAAGTTCAGCCTTTACTAAGTGAGTATAATGGAGAAAAGGAAAAGCAAGAGTTGTATGTGTTTGTAGACCATCACAACATGTAAACTGGGTGAGGCAAATTATGAATATTAAGAATGCGAGGGGCTGGCTCTGTGGTGCAATGGGTTAACGCCCTGGCCTGAAGCTCCGGCATCTCATATGGGCACCGGTTCTAGTCCCAGGTGCTCCACTTCCAATCTATCTCTCTGCTATGGCCTGGGAAAGCAGTAGAAGATGGCCCAAAGGCTTGGGCCCCTGTACCCATGTGGGAGACCTGGAAGAAGCCCTTGGCTCCTGGCTTTGGATAGGTGCAACTCCAGCCGTTGCGGCCAATTGGGAAGTGATCCATCAGATGGAAGACCTCTCTTTTTCTGCCCCTCCTCTCTCTGTGTAACTCTGACTTTCAAATAAATAAATAAATAAATTTTAAAAAAAGATTTATTTTATTTTATTTATTTGAAAGACAGAGTTATTGGCCGGCGCCATGGCTCAATAGGCTAATCCTCCGCCTGCGGCGCCAGCACACTGGGTTCTAGTCCCGATCCCCGATCGGGGCGCCAGATTCTGTCCAGGTTGTTCCTCCTCCAGTCCAGCTCTCTGCTGTGGCCCAGGAGGGCAGTGGAGGATGGCCCAAGTGCTTGGGCCCTGCACCTGCATGGGAGACCAGGAGAAGCACCTGGCTCCTGGCTTCGGATCAGTGCAGTGCGCCGGCCGTAGCATGCCGGCCGTGGCGGCCATTGGAGGGTGAACCACTGTCAAAGGGAAGACTTTGCTCTCAGTCTGTCTCTCTCTCACTGTCACTCTGTCGGTCAAAAATAAATCAGTAAAATCACTAGACGACAAGTTACGGAGAGATGCGGAGACACAGAGATGGGTCTCATGCTGTACACTCTCATAGCTGCACAGGCAAGCTGCGCTGATCCGAAGGCAGGAGCCAGGAGTTTTTCCAGGTCCTCCACGAGGGTGCAGGGGCCCAGGGACTTGGGCCATCCTCTAGTGCTATCCCAGGCCATAGCAGAGATCTGGATTGGAAGAGGAGCAGAAGGGACTAGAACTCGCGCCCATATGGGATGCTGGCACTGCAGGCTTCGCCACAGCACAGGCCCCAAATAAATAAATATTTAAAAAAAAAATTGAGAGGTGAAGGCATTTAGCACAGTGACTTAAGTCACTGCTTGGGATGCCCACAACTGATATAGGAGTGTTTGACGACAATTCTGACTGCTCTGCTTCCAATCCAGCTCCCTGCTAATGCACATCCTTAGAGGCAGCTGGTGATGGCCAAGTTCTTGGGTCCCTGCAACCCAGGGAGACCTGGGTGGGGTTCCAGGATGCTGGCTTCAGCCTGGTCTCTCACAGAAAGAATGAAAATTAATAGAAATTTTCAAAAAGAGTGTAACAAATAGTGAACTGATAATACATTTAATGTTTGGAGGATTTTTAAAAAATATTTTTGAAAAATGTATTTATTTATTTGAAAGTCAGAGTTACCAGAGTTACAGAGAGAGAGAGGGGGAGAGAGAGAGACAGAGAGACAGAGAGACAGAGAGAAATCTCCTATCCGTGGGTTCATTCCCCAGATGGCTGCAATGCAATGGCTGGAGTTGGGTCAGTTTGAAGCCAGGAGCCAGAAACTTATTCTAGGTCTCTTTTGTGTGTACAGGGGCTCAGGCACTTGGGCCACCCTCCACTGTTATCCCAGGAACAGTAGCAGGGAGTGGGATTGGAAGTGGAGCAGCCGGGACTCGAACTGGCACCCATATGGGATCCCGGCACTGCAGGCAGCTTTACCTGCTATGCTACAGTGCCAGCCCCTAAACGTTATTTTGAGAAGCAGACAGGGAAAGAGTATGAGAGAGAGAGAGAGAGACGTGGGTGACTGTTTTTATCTATTTACTGATCCTGTGATCCTACAGGGGCTGAGTCCGAAGCCAGGAAACAACTCAATCCTGGTCTCCCAGGTGAGTGGCAGGAACTCAAATGCTTGAGCTTCCTCCCAGGGTTTGCATCAGCAGGAAGGCGGAGTCAGGAGTCAGAACCTGGAATCAAACCCAGGAGGAAAGGCATGATCAGTGAGGGAGCTGCCTGAACCAGACTTCAGATGACGAGTGTAGTTACTGGCAATAGCAAACACAAGCACAACCATGACGGGGGAATTATGGAGCAGTGGATGGCTAAAATAGGAAAGATTTTTTAGAGGTGAGACACTGACAGTGGTGGGTGGACAATCCAAATGAATGTTGAAAGATGAACAGAAGCAGAGGTGGAAGGGAAGACAACAAGCCTTGAGCTCATGTTGACAGAGAAATGGTCTACCAAAAAATCTGTGATGACACTAACTTGGGAGAGTGGGTATTAAAAGATATGGCTAGTGGACTTCAAGGGAGTTAAAGATTTTTATTTTTATTTATTTTTTTGACAGGCAGAGTTAGTGACAGAGAGACGAGAGAAAGGTCTTCCTTTTCTGTTGGTTCACCCTCCAATGGTTGCCGCAGCCGGCGCGCTGTGCCGATCCAAAGCCAGGAGCCAGATGCTTCTCTTGGTCTCCCATGCAGGTGCAAGGCCCAAGCACTTGGGCCATCCTCCACTGCCTTCCCGGGCCACAGCAGAGAGCTGGACTGGAAGAGGAGCAACCGGGACAGAATCCGGTACCCCAACCGGGACTAGAACCTGGGGTGCCGGAGCCACAGGCAGAGGATTAGCCTAGTGAGCCGCAGCGCCATCCGGATTTTTATATTTTTAAAAATTTATCTTATTTATTCGAAAGGCAGAGTTACAGAGAAGCAGAGGCAGAGAGAAGTCTCACCCGCTGGTTCACTCCCGAGATGGCCGCAATGGCCGGAGCTGCGCCGACCTGAAGCCAGGAGCCAGGAGCTTCTTCTGGGTCTCCCATGCAGTTGCAGGAGCCCAAGGACTTGGGCCATATTCTACAGCTTTCTCATGCTTTAGCAGAGAGCTGGGTCACTAGTGGAGAAGTGGGGACTAGAACTGACACCCATATGCGATGCCAGCATTGCAAGGCTGCAGCTTTACCTGGTATGCCACAGTGCCAGCCCCATAAGCTGGGGATTTTTAAGCAAGGACTCCACTGATGGATTCCATATAGATTTTACATTATTTTATTTGTTCTTATTTATTTGAAAGGCAGAGAGACAGAAAGAGACTGATACAGAGATCTCCCTTCCCCTGGTTCATTCCCCTAAAACCCGGCAAGTCAGGGTTGGCACGGGCCAAAGTCAGGAGCTAGGAAATCAGTCTATTTCCCACGAGAGTGGCAGGGATCCAAGCACTTGCGCCCTCACTGCTGCCTCCCCTGATACGTGTTAGCAGAAAGCTGGAATCTGGAGCTGGGCCAGAACTCAAACCCTGTAAGAGAACAGCAACTCCTATAACGGAAGCGGGCATCCCAAGCGTCATCTCTACCACTACTCCAAATACCTGCTCCCAGATAATTTAATACTGCAAATTTTAAGGACCTTAATTTATCCGGGAAGTGTTACAGGGTGGTGAAATTTAAAAAATGTATACCATCGCTCTCCGTGATTTGTATGTAAATTATTACCGTATATGCACACATAGCAGGATTCTTTTTGAACAAACATGCACCCACTTGAGTGTATCGCGAAGTTTATGCCGCCACAACAAATCTGAATTTCTACGTTACAAAATGAAATCAGGGTGTGTTCAGTGTTTGACATCGGTAAGATTTTATTTCTCTAATTTGGCCCAGCTTTGGGTAGCCTGCGTAATAGCCCTCAGTTTGTAGCTCTGAACCGGAGAACATCTAGGCAAATATAGCACCAAACTGCTCCTAGGAGCAATCAAGAAAGAAAAGACCCCCAGCATCTCTCCACAGGAGCTGATTAGGGCCCTCGGTACTCGCTTTCACGGCAAAGTCGCTCCGGCATATCCATTCAAATTCCTCCCAGCAAATCACAGTGGACGACAGCCAACTTCTTCTCCGCTCATTGGCCAACTGGAAACTTCAGCTCCTCTCCATTCCTCCCGCCTCTCACCCGGGAGCCAATTGGAAAGATCATAGGTTCGTCACTTTGTGTCATCCAATACAGTATCCGTAATTGGCTACTGCAGCTGTCGATCGAGAAGTAGGCGGGGCCATACCAACCTGGGCTATATAAGAAGAGGACAAAGGCGGCGCGCCGCCTGTGTCATCCGCCATTTTGTGAAAAGCAAGGTGGCCTCCACGTTCCCTGCGCGTCTTCTTCGCTTCTGCCTCGACCGCCCCTTGACCACAGAAATGTCTCGGGATCGGTTCCGGAGTCGCGGCGGTGGCGGTGGCGGCTTTCACCGGCGACTCGGAGGCGGAAACTGAAAACATTCTTTCTGAATGTTGGAGTATGTCAGAAGAATGGAGGCTCAATATTGAACAAAACGTTACCTGGACTGCATTTCTGTACGTTTCTAGCATCTCTAGATTGTGAAGTTCTTCCCTACGTCTTAGTTCTTCCTGACGCCGCATTAGATCTAAACATCACAACATATTACTTTGGCTCCACATAAATATCACTCTCATAATCTCAAAACCAGATTCACACAGGATTTTTAGCTTCGCGCAAAACAGTTGCCTGATGTTGATGATAGGCATCTTCCATTTACTTTCCAAGTTATCTGTTTGCATCCTTCATATTTTTTTCAACTTGTCGCTCTGCTGGTTTCTCCATTTCCATCCAAAGATTTCCATCGCTGAGATATTCATATTCAAACGTGCCATGCTGAAGCAAAGGGGGAAGGA